CAGCTCTCTCTGCCTCTCCTCGTAAGGCAGATGCTCCAGGCTCCTCATCATCTTTGTGGCCTCTGCTGGACTCTCTTTTCCCAACCCAGGAGCAGAATTTTACACCAATTCAAGAAATCTCTTCCTCTCCCCCATGTAACCAGGCAGTGAGAGGGCTATGCCATGCCCCAGACCCGTCTGCAGCACAGGCAGAGAGGGCAAAGAGGGGGATTGGCAGCTCCTGACTCAGACCATATTGCCACCAGCATCTCTGTGACGCTTCCCCTGCTTGGCAGAGCAGGAGGCTGTTTGCCTCTCACACGTAACATCATACCCTGCTGTGGCTTTGGTCTTGCTCAGGCTCTAACAGGCAAAAGGATGGTGCTATTCAGTCCTTAACGAAGAGCAAGTTAAGCACCGAAATACAAATGCACAACGTTCCAGCTCAGTGACACAAAAGGTTTCCTGCAAAGCAATTATGCTCAACGATGTCCACGAGAGATCAGTTATTGTAGAATTCATAACAAGAACAGGCAAACCCATCATACAGATAAATACTGATTTACTTCGTTTGCCAACAGAACTTTAAACACTGTATCTTTGGCATGTTATACTTCACTTGGTCCAGCACACCTTTTTAGGGTCTAATTTACCACACAGTCATGATTAGATGCTACAAAAGATGAGGGTGGTCAGACACTGGAACAGGTTGCCCAAGGAAGTTGTGGATGCTCCTCCCTGGAAGTGTTGAAGGCCAGGCTGGATGAGGCTTTGAGCAACCTGGTCTAGTGGAAGGTGTCCCTGCTGATGGCAGGGGGGGTGGGACTGGATGAGCTTTAAGGTCCCTTCCAACCCAAACCATTCTATGATTCTATGATATGATTCTATTGTTGAAAGATGAACCCAAAATGCACACTGACGGGAAAGACAAAAAGCAACCAAGAAACAGGAAAGGGTGTAAATGCAGGGAAAGAAGTGATTGAAATTCCAGCAGAGTAAAAGAACTACAATTTCATCCGAATAGGGGCAAAGCCTTTCTAACAGTTCTCTCGTGCAACAACCCCTCCATGGGTGGAGGTTTCCAGCTGCTCAAACCTATGGTGCAGCTTCTCCTCATTTTCATGGGCTCAGGGGACCAACTCCACAGCTGCTCGCAGAATCGAGACGCACACAGGCAAGTTCTCTTGGCAAACACCAGCCACAGCACAGCCTCTGTAATGCCTGTCCCTAATACAGACCCCACCGTGGACAGGAACCCTCCACACCAGGCTCAAAAACAGAGTGGGAAGCAGATCGTTAATGTGTGGTAAAAAGAAGTCAGTCCTTTCTGCTCTGCAAACCCAGTGAGATTTGTTTTTTTCTTTCTTTCTTTCTGTAAATCCCCATTGCTTTCTACAGCAACTTAAATTGGATTACGGGGGATAAACATTGAGTGCAACCTGAGCCGAGGCAGATGGACAGAGCAGACAAAGAAGGCAGGAGTAGTGCACGGCAGGTCAAAGGTATTGCTGTCAAGGTATGAGTGTGTGCAGGGAATGGACAAACTCTGCTTAGTGACAGACACCTAAAACACACACTTTATTAACCCATTAAGTCTTAAAATGTCAGGCTAGCTCCAGCCATCTCGGTGATCTATCGCTCACTGTGACTTCTTTTTTTATGACATAGCCCTGGGGTCCTCTCAGCAAGTTAGACTGCAGCCAGCTCAAACCCATCAATTACTCTTTGGGGTTTTTTTTTCTTTGTGAAAATTAAGGAATTAGATGAATGCTCCACATTTTTCTGCAAAGTGACCAAAGTCTCAACAGCACCTACCACGCTGGGGCTCCATTCCCTGCGTGGGCGCTCCTGGGAGTTCAGTAGGATAAGGATCCTCATGTCTGGACTCCCCACTAAACCAAGTGGGACTTCTACCTCCAGAAAAACTAAACAAGATTTCAGGATTTAGCCTAACAGGCAATCAGAAAAATAAGCCCTAATGAATTAAATGCCCCATCTTCCCCCAGCTCCCCTGTACTCTGAGATAAAACAGCTTCTTATTATATGTACAATAAAAGAAAGAATCAACATAATTACACGCCCTTCCCACAATAGCTGTCATTATAATAACCATCATTAAGGCCTGTGATTGGAGATAATCATGTTTACCTCCATAAACATTCCGGCTGCATCCTGACTCCAGGCTGCGCGAGCAGCAGAAGTGATGACATTTGGAATTAGGATCAGTGCCCCCCGACACGTGCCGAGGTGGGGACAGACACTGGCTGGTCCTGGGGTCTCCTCAGGCTGTAGTGAAGAGTGAGATTGTGTCTCAAGGTGTGACGCTGTGCAATGGACAGTGCAACTAGTTTGTAACCTGCAGGCACCTTGCAGTGTCCAGAAGCACCCAAATTCCTCCTCAATGGAAGATTTTCTCATGGGATGCTATTCTGACCTTGAAGAAATCCCACTGTCTCTTTCCTGGGGCTTCAGAGACAGGTGACCAACTAACTGGACACATGGGGAGAAGCAAGCCCACCCCATCTGGGGATCTGGAAGAAGCCAAGCTCTATCTTTCACCCTGACATGGGCTTTCCATGCAAACTCAGCCAAAAGTCTCTCTTGTCTCCAGATACTTAGATGCTAAAAGATGTAGAGAGGTATCTGCTGCTCTTCCAAAGTCCCTCTGCCTTTCCCTGGCCCCATGGACACATCAGACATCCTAAAATTGTCTATCTATCTCCATTGTTAAGTAGATAGATCCTAAATTGCCTTAAAAAACCTGAGCTTTGGTCCTAAGGGCGTTGGTGTCCCACTCTGCAAAAACCACAGGCTCTGTCCTTCTAGGGGTAAATGTCTGAGTCTTGCAAATAGGAAAGTTATTGGTGGCATGGTCTGCAAGACCCAAGTTGGTAAGATCACCTGCATGTTTCTGCACCACCATGGCACTGCTGGTGCAGGGAAAGCTGAGCCCAGCTGGTCACCAGTATGCAAAAAGCTCTGAGGAAGCAGCCAGGGACTCTTCTCCAGCCACAGGTCATCTTGAAGCCAGCCCCATTCCCTACAGCGCTCAGCCTCACAGTTTGGTGAGAAGGGCATCCCTCTCAATCCCATTCTTCTACAGGGTATCACATGTCTGGAGGTTTTCTCAAAAACCAAACGGGCCCTGGGATGCTGCACTGCCCAATGTTCCCACCATCAGGAACAAGAAACTGTATGAGAAACTGGTCCACAGACAGCCCAACCTAAGATCCACATGGCTGATGAACAGCCGCTCCAGAGAACTGGGTGCAAGGCAAAGTAGAAACTGGGTGATTTACACCTTCTTCATCCTTTCCTAAAGACCCCCTTTCACCCATTTTTCTGTAACCATGGGATTATTTACATTAAAAGGGGTTTTCAAGGATCGAGCTTCCAACAGGGATGTTGGGATTTGGCCTTCCAAGATTGACAACGAGGAGCTTCAGGTCTCAAAGACAGCTTCCCAACCCAGAGCCCTGTCTCTCTGGGATGCTCAGGATGAAAGACAAAGGGACAGGGACACCTGCAGAGGAATTGCCACGGTGGGACAAGAAGGGTCCTGGCACAGCTCTAGAGTTCAGCTCCAACGTGCAAGAGGGAGAGCACATACAAAGCAAGGAGGTAACGGGGAAGAGAGGGAGCCAACATCACCAGCATAAATAACTGAGTGTAGTTAGTGAGGCACAGGAACCACGCTGCCGAGCTGGAAGTAAATGACACTCCGAAGGCACATGGAAATAGTAAGAGTGCAATTAATTGAGAGAGACAGAGAGGAAATCACCGAGGCCGTGTGCGTTCACTCGGGGACTCGGAAAGCCCGATCCCTCTCCACGGGCTGGCTGTGTATCCAAACCCAGCTCACCCCACACAACACCCCGGCTACCTCCTGAAAGGAACCACGAGGCAGAGTGGCCCACAGCCACTCTCTGCTCGAGGCAAACTGTAAAACTCATCTCACAGCAGCTTGAGTTCGTGGTTAGAGGCAGGGGAGTACACAGGCAGCTGAACAGAGCCCTTGTCTCAACGCTGACAGGCTGTGAGGGCAAATTGCTTTGCTTTCTGCAAAAAGATGGAGGGAGGAAGCGTTATTAGCTCTGACATAAAGGCCACGAGAAAATTATTGGAATCCTCATTCTACAAGTTTCCTTTTGAGAAACATTTACCATCTCCCTGAGCAATACAATATGTGACTATATGTGCAAATATTTAACAAAAACTACTTCCCCTATTGATCAAGCAGACAGGCATACACAGAG